TTCTACAGTAACTTGTCATGTGAATAGCGAGGCGGCAGCCGTATTCTGTCCTTAATCTTGTTGTCGGCAGTTCGTTTTGATGCTTCGGTGATAGCTTGCTGCAATGTTGGTTACTTGCTACATTGTCAACAGCGTCATCGCGGTCGTCGCGTGAGGTTGCCATGAAGTTGGCCAAGTGCATCGTAATGCATGCTTTTGGGCGCCCCTTGAGATCACAGCAGATACCACTGTTGTAACCGATTGCAAGAAAAGATAGCCGCGCAAGACTTTTACGGCATGCGGGGGTGGTGCGGGGACAGCTTGCAGAAGATAGTGCCATCAACCACCAAAGATGAGTGAAGTGCAACAAAGGTGTTCCCAAACACTGTACGCCTATGTCAATTGCAAAAGGCTAAGCAACCTAACTTTATTTTTTGAATTACCGCATTTTTGCTCATCTCAAAAAAGTTTTCATAAAATTTCGCCCGCATAAGAAATGCACCCCCTACGTTGCTTCGATTTTTGAAGAAAAAAATGCATTCATTACGCGAGTAAATATAGTAACCTTCTATTAAACTATAACTTCAGTATTCTCTATTTATTTATTGCCATTTTCTTGAATTCGCTACACTTCTGGGGCGCGCAAGGGTTCCGAAATCACATGCCTTCATTGAATTCGATGGCGCATTCCTGGGAGCCCTAGCGAAAAATAGCGCTGGGTGCAGCGCACACAGAATACGGGTGAGAAGAATCGAGGAGGAAACGCGTGCGTGGAGGAAAGTATCCTTATTTTCCTAGATCAAAGGGCTTTAGCCCAATTGTGCTTGTGGTGTTGCATTGTGGTGAAAAAGCGAAATAGGTACACTCCTAAATTGCTTTTTTTTTTACGGCGTGGCGCCACCAGCAACACCCGCCTAAGCTTGTCATTCTTGTTCATGTAGTTCGGGTACACAAGCAAAGCAATACAGTTTGAACAGCAGAAACACTCCTACACTTGTTCAGCTCTGTTTGCTGGTGAAAAGCAGGTCATCACAGTGCTGTTGGACTTTCCTGTGGTAACAGCTTGGCCTGCCCTTTGCACCGTCGAAATCTTCAACAATGTTGAGTCCAGCGATAGCTGGAACGTCGATCTTATCCACAGCCATATGATAGGTGCCCTCCCTCAATGTTAAACGCGCCATTTCGGGTGGAGTTTGCCGGAAAATCTAGAAGACGGATATTGTGCGGCAGTATGGCATAGCTCAGTCCACTTTGGCGACCATCATAAACAATGCCAGCATGACGGCAATGCCATACTCTTTGATGATGACGTTGGCAGCGGTGAGCAGAAGCGAACTTGTGCTGCCGCTTGCAGCGATGTTGAAGCGATCCTCACGCAAGGAATGTTCCTCTCAGTGGGCCAATCTTGCTTGCGCAGGACAAGAAAGTCTGGGGTTTGTTCTTGGCTATGAGAACGTTGCAGCGATTCAGACCATCATGGCACCACATTGAAGCTGAATTCTTTGACGAGGACAGTCTCCAGCGTTGGATGGAGAAGCACATGTGCCGCATTCTTGACACATATGCCAGGAGGAATATATACAATGCTGATGAAAAGGGGCTGTGTATTCATTTACTGTCAGCTAAAGCTCTCGCAGTGAAGACTGATAAATGCGTGGGAGGAAAAAACAGCAAAACTTGCATCACAGTGTTGGTGTGCGTGAACATGGATGGCACAGACAGGCAGTAAGCATAAGAAACCGCGGGGCTTTTCCAAGGTGCTGTAAATGCCAGTAGCGTATGCACACACCACCAAGGCATGGATGACAGGGGACATCTTTCGTAAGTGGCTCACTGACTTTGACAGGGAAACGATCTCAAAGTAGCGCAAAGTGCTGCTCCTGCCTGACAACTGCAGTGCACACCATGTCAGTGCACATCTAAGTGTTGTCGAGATCCTTTTCCTGCCTCCCAACACAACTGCCAAGATGCAGGCGACGGACCAGGGAGTGATCGCAATCTTTAAATTCTACTATCGCCGCCGTGTCATCGAGCGTCTTCACGTCGACATTCGAACAGCTGATAACTCGGCTGACTTGAAGGTGCTGCAGGTGAAGGCAATATTTCTCGCAAGTGGAACCTGGAGGGACGTGAAGTCTCGGACGATCCTTCATTGCTTCCAAAAAGCAGGTTTCTCGTGGGGAAGCAGCGCTGCCAAAGAAGAAACAGCAGCAGCTGGTGCCGCGGCTGTGGGGAGCTCAGGGAAGCTTTGGGAGGCCGCTGGCAATGCAAGCTTTGTCCCAAGCGGGTTGCACTATATGGACTTCCCTCTTGCAGATAGGCACCTTGTCGCAACTGAGGAGTTCTGCACCGACAAACTGGCCATCAGTGTCTCGAAAAAGGAAACAATTGTCGAGATCAGTTCCTCGAACTCTGAAGGCGACGACAGTGCTGAATCTCAGCCAGTAACTTCTAGAGTAGCTCTCGCAACTGTCGTTGCACTGCGTATGTACTTGAAGTCCGAACCAGACAGGGGACCCTCGATCACTTTTTTCAGAGGGTGCCAATAAAATTTTCTGCTTGGTCTGCTTGATGCCTGAACTTTTTTTTAGAGTCCAAATGAAGCATAAACGTCGTTTTAGCGAACTGATGTCTGATTCCCACCAACTTTGTTATAACGGGGATACAGTGTAGTTGTCACATGACACGCAATTTTTTTTTCCTTACTCATGAATGTCTGCACCGCATAGTAGTGAGTTAGCTCACTACTATGTGGTGCTTAGTTAGAATGATAGCTGACATTAAAAAAAAATTCTGGCATTAATTTCAAACTGTCATTTAACCATATGGTGTAGTAGCGCAAATTTGACGGGGACGAAGAGGACAAGAAAAGCGAGTGTCGTGTTTTTCTTGTCCTCTTCGTCCCCGTCAAATTTGCGCTACTACACCATATGGTTAAATGATGTCTCACCAACTAGCCCAGCTCTCAACCCTACTGAATTTCAAACTGTGTGCGACATTTTTGCAGCCCTAAGAAACAAGCAAAACAGTTTGCCAGCCCTACTCACTCGATCCTACTTTACTTGTCTCCCAAGTTTTGAGGTCGCCAGCCTGGTTGATCCACATATGAATTTGCAGTCTGGCAAAAGATTGGACAGGCGCTGCAAATGATGATGGGGACTTTTGGTTGCTCTGTGGGGTGGTTCGAAATGTTGCTTTTTATATATATGGCAGAGCTTATGTGCACTGGGCACTAGCGTTTAAGAGAGGTTGAACGGTTGTGCATTGTTAAGATTTCTTTTCTGAAAATAAGTCTTCTTAGCTTAACTGCTCCAAATTTCGAATTTTGTGCAAAAAAAAAATATATTTTCTCGTAACCTGCTCCACGTTTAGATTTTTGGCAAATGAGACTGACTGATACAGTGGGCTGTCAAGGTGCCAAGCTGTCTGCATCTGTATTCTGTTTCACTGATGTGTAAGTGTGTGTACATAGGTCAAACTAGAAGGTGTAAGAACGAAAGACTTAAAGAACACCAGCACAACGTAGAAAAAGCTGTATCTGGTCATTTGGGAATTCACTGTCACATGTGTGGTTGCACCCCAATGTTTCAAAACACCTGTATTCTCAATAAAGCCCACTGCAGAACTATGTGCAAAATAATTGAAGCCCATGAAATCGAAAATGTAAGGAAGAAACGTGGCTGATCCATCTTTTTGGGAGGGATCAGCCATGCGTCTTCACAGAGTTAGTTGACTGTTTATTGTGCCTTCTTGGAGAAAAAATGAATGCCACAATAATAAATTGCAATGTCATGTGAAGAACGGCTAGCAATTCGAAACTTGCAGCGTGCACCTGAAGCAGAAAGCATGCACGATATGAGCACACACAGGGCGAGTGCAAACAAACAACTGTCAGAGCTGAACAACACTAAAAGCACGTTGCTCAAACAGAAAGACACATGAAACAAACGCATCAGTATACACTTGGATGAGCGCGAATAGCTGTCACAATTCTTACATCTTTGTGTCTGAGCGGCAGGCTCTTTTCGTAAACGCAGCTGTGGGAGCGACTGAAGTGACCTTTGTGCTCTTTTTAACCACTGTAACTTAAAAGCAAACTTGGGGTAAAATCACAACAAGTACGAAGCGGCCAAATCTCAAGATAAGTGCACGCACGCGAGTGAGTAACCATGCCTGAGAAGATCTGTAGAGACTTTGACTACGCCATGTAGAGGGGCGCACACATCGTAACCTTTAAGAGCGCGCGTGCCCAACGTGGGACCTTCGCACCATCTCTCTACTGATGACGAAAATGAGCTGAAGTTGCTGAGCTCTGACTACCGCTAATGATACATGGTGTACATAACTAGCTTGCCGTTAACAAACTAGTCAACGTGCGCATTGTGGTCTAGTGGCTTGCGTCTCGCAATGAGGAGTGAGAGGTCGCTGGTTCGATGCTCTGCTAAGGAACCTTTTCTTCTAGTTTCATTTTTTGCTTTGCAATTTGTTCATACACATTTTACGTCGTATGCGTGATGGAAAGCGTCAGCAGAGCCGTGGTGAGCCCCTGCATAAAAAATTTTTGTGTTAAAATGTGTGAGAGTGCTTTCTTTAGATTTGTCAGCGAAACTTTCTGGAATCATCACTTTGACATTGGTGGATGCAGATTGTTGTGATTATTGGTGACACTTGTATGCTCTGGGCTGTATCTTTACCTGCTCTTCTTTCCATTTTATCAACTTACTGTTATTGTGTATATGGCATGTGTGATCCCAAGTAATACCATTAGTTGCAAGTTAGCACTGTGTGTGTCCCTCTTCTCTGTTCTTGTCATGATGCACTGCGCCATGTGAATTATGAACCCCAACCAGTTAGCCGGGCAATGGGCTTTAGAAAATCTGTTATACACTTTATGGTGTTAGAAGTACTATTTCTAAAAGGGACAGCTAAGCAGAATAACTTTAGACATGTAAATTACTTCCCAGTAATCAGTGGAGAAATAGCCATTGGGACAGTGATGTCGTCGCATTCTGCCCATCCAGAGGGAGAAAGAGCGTCGAGAGAAGGAGAACCTGCGTAAGCAACTCAAGAAAGAGCGCAAGGCCTTGGAGGCAGTCTGCACAGATGATGGCCACTATGCGGCCGACGCCGAGGAGCACGTGGTGCGGCTGCAGCAACTTCACCGGCTCTGCCAGCTGCTCAGCCTCGAAGAGTGAGGCTGCCCTCATTTCTGTTTGTTGCAGTCATATTGACAAGCGTTTAGTGGCTTTTCTGTGCGTGCCAAGTGGCTAAAGGTAAGCACATGCCCACAAACCACACTTACCTGGGTAAAGTCTCAGCTGGGCTGTTTTATTTCTTGAAAACATGAACTCATATTAGTGCACTCCTGATGTTCTTTAGCCTTGCAAATGGGCAATGATATAAACAGTGCAATATTTTCTTCGATTAGATGCCTTTTTTTTTTAAGTTCATCATGTGAGCTTTCGGTATTATGAAACACAGTTGACACATTTCCTGCAGCGCCCTGCACAATCAGTTTTCACATCACTGGAATGAAGGCTCTTTCAACTTCAGTGATTGGAATATCTAATTGCGTAAGATTCTGGTTATCTGTTTAAAAGGGACGTTCCACATATTGTCACATTCTAAAACTTTTAATATGCGAAGCAGCTCATGGCAAAGTTCAATCTGGTGTCCGTAACCACCCTTGCTGCGCATGTGCAGCAGCTAGTCCAAGCACTGCCAGAACGCACTCACATGCTAGCATGTTCCGGCCTGTGTAAAGGGCTGGGTAAGATGCTGTAGCTTCTCCCTCTTACACTCTCCCAGCAATCATGTGATGGCATCGGGGAACAAGATTTTACTGACGTGCCACGAACCAACGTGTTGTATCCTAGTCAGAACGCTCTAGTGCCCTCGAGCCTGCTTATGGGGGACGTGGGTCCTAAATTTTTTTTAAATTTTTGGCTCAATATTGATTAAATTTCACTATACGAGGTAGTTTTTCATGCTGATATCAAATCTGTGATTTATTTTTAATAGCTCGCGTGGTTCAGCAAATATTAGTTTCAATTTTAATTAACTACCCATTTCTTACAGGACTTTTTGGCAATTTCACCTTAAAAAATGAAAAACTAAATGCATAACCTCAATGCTGAAGACTTTCTGTAAGGGGTGATGCCATTTTTTCAATTTGAAGGCATTTTGTAGGCTAGAAAAAGAACAAACATTTGTGATGAATATTTTACTTTAATTTTTTATTTTTTTAATTTATTATCTTTGATTGTAATTTCGAAACTGGTTCTAGAGAAATGAAAATAGCATCACGCCCTGGGCGATTTGAAGAGGAATAAAATGATACCAGCTTTGTCACTCTCACTGAAATATGACAAAGGAAAAACCCCCGAAAGGCTGAGGGAAAAGTGCAAAAACAACGAACTGAGAAATACAGTTTCCAGCAGCTGTAACTTTTGCTAAAGTGAAGCTACAGCAATATAAATGACACCGTTTTGTAGCTCTATATTGTACGATAATGGCCATTCTAAATGTGCCACTGTACCCACCCAAAATATTTGTCACAGCTTGTTCTAAATCTGACATGGTCATTTCTGCATCTTACTTTTTGGTCGTGTCAATGATTTGCAAGTGAAAGGAATGCACAAGAATCAAACATTACTGTTGCCCTTGCATATACAATACACCTACACAATGTTCAGGTTGAAAACACACAATATTTGATTTCCAAGAAATTGTCACTGTTTCCGTGAGGAAATTTTGCTGCAGACCAGGGCTGTAAGCAGGGTTCCTTGTTGGCTTGTGATGCTTCGCAAGTATTGTCTTGGTGGAATTGCTGTTGTGATGCTCTCGCTGTGATTTTTGCTGCCTGTTTTTTTTTTTTCTTTTTCAAGGCTGTGACGAACCAGATTTAAGCCCGGGTTGTAGCCCAGTTTCTCAGCAATTTATATATTGCTCTTGTCATGCCTTGGTTGAAGTGGCCGACGGCTTCTGCAACAGCCCTCTCAATGCTCCGCAAGAATGCCTGCTGGGTCTTAGTGGCCTGCTGCCAAATCGCAGAGTGCAGGCTTTCACTTGGATTCTGAGTGATTCCATCACTGCACCTTTCCAGAAGCGTGCCATCACTCAGTTGGCTGAACATAGGCTCCATTACCTCGCTCACAAAATCAAGCAAGCTGTCCTTGTGTGGTGGGGGCTCCTCATTCTTCACCACAGCCCTCTGGTACTTGCACCAAAAGTCTGGGCCTTTAGGGCAGAGGTCATGCTTTGGTGCTTTATCAGTAGAGGAAATGTGCTTCAGAGTTGCAAGCACAGCTCTCTGCATGCCTGGAAGGTCGTTCCTGTGTCTTCTCAATGCATAATCATAGTGAGAGGTGATCTCTTGATTTCTTGTTGCCTGAGCCTGCCCTTACCACTTAGCGAGCCAGCTCGAGCTTTTTTTTTCCTACAAGTGTACGTCGGACGGCTCCCATACACTTGTGCACATGTTTAATGCAGTCCTTTTTGGTTACCTTGATATAGCCATAGACTTCGTTTTCTCTGAGTGGATAGAATGTTCGGCTGTCACCATCCGAGAGCATGGTCATGTATCAAAGTTAATGCTTCTCAAGTGATCGCCCAAACAAGCGTAGCGCTGCCCCCACTTCTGGCACAGAGGGGCGTGCATAGAATGTTCGGCTGTCACCATCCGAGAGCATGGTCGTGTATCGAAGTTTATGCTTCTCAAGTGATCGCCCAAACAAGCGTAGCACTGCCTCCACTTCGATCTGGCCAGTGTTGCAGTCAACATTCTTCTGGCAGAGAGGGGTGTGCTGGATGAGCCAGGCATAATGCCTCTCCTTCCTTGGGTCCTGTGGTGCAAGCTAGGCAAAAGTTCAACAGTACGATATGGTCTATAGCGAGACCACTATACATTTCAATAATTCCGCCAATGCATATATGCGAGTTACATCCGCGTGTGAGCCAAGTGCCTTAATATATAATGTCGACGTTGCTGGGTGTGTTGCCGAACTCCGCATAGAGGTTTTTGACGCGTACAACGCTCGCTGCTTCGCACTCGGCAGCTGTCACACTGCACGCTTCCTTCATTAACGTCACGTGGCTGTGATAAGTCTTGTGGTGGAGCCCTCGATGTGAAATGTTCATCACGGCGAAGAAGTATGACAGAGCTGTTGCCCCCTTGCCAATATTATTGATGGCCTTCATGGTACACAAATTCACTTCGAACGACCTTATTTTTGCGTCAGTCTCGTCGGCTACACGTGGGGATGAAAACCGCTCTTCGTGAAAGTCGCAGCTGCTGCACGGGACGAGCTTTTAACACAACCCGTACTCTCTCTTGCCCTTCGAAAAATTCATGCTTTTTTCACCGCACTTGGTACAGGTGATAAGCCGAAATAAGTCTATCACCACGAAGTCAACAGTGCCAAATTCTGTCCTGTTTTTTCCCCGTCGTTCCCCAAAATAATATCTAGTAGCTTGAAAATGTGTTCCGTCGTGTTTCCTCCAAGGCTTCCACTGGGTTTGAATAGTCATCTTGTACACCCCACGGGGAACTCCTTCAAGGCTTCCACTGGGTTTGAATAGGCATCTTGCACACCCCCTGGGGAAGGGATACTTTCACGCTCACCACATTCCTGGTGCACTCAGCGAACTTGTCCTTGGAATAAAATGCTGTTCCGATGTGGTCTTTGATATTACTGGAAGTTCGAGGTGATCCGACGACGAGACAATTCGAGAAGATGCTACAGCTGAGCTCCCGGAGAGTGCACCGTTTCGGACACAAGTGCCCGCGGCTGCCCGCCGTCGTCAGAATGCAGTGCTTCGGACCCATCGGGTGAACTCGGCCGCACGTTGTTGACTTTCTTCTGCGGTGCATTCCACGGACTCCTTCGTATCTTGCCATACGTGTGGCATGTATTTTTTAGACAAGCGTCACCAGTCATGCCGGCAAAAACACCGAAAGTCGTTGCCTCGGTCGAGTAGCACGAGTAGGAAGCAGTCGAGCACACGCGCGAGACCGAAGCTAGCGGCCGAAAAACAACCAGGAAAAAAAATCGCAGCCTGCTTCGTCGCATCAGCCAAGCGGAAGAAAGAAACAAGGCGATCGCCTGGCACGTGCACACTCCGGCCAATGAGTGATCGGGAAGGGGGCTTCAAAAAAAAGGGCGAGGGCAGCTGTTTCGTTCATGCAACATCATTTTGAAGAGTGGCAAAATATACACAAAAAAATCAGCTTCAAAACGAGCTCAAGATGGCCGCGTTCTGCCGGCTGCTTCGCCGGCGGCGCGTGCGAAGTCTTGACAAATTTTACTTTATGCGAGGTGTTTCGAGATTTCCGTGATGACTTTATAACAAATTTTAACCATTTATTGATCGAATTTAGCATTCACAATTTTAGAACACCTATGTATAAGAAGAAAAATTCGAAAAAAATCGACTTTTTGGTCATTTTTAACCATTCTAGGACCCGGGTCCCTCCTTAAGAGGTTGTGACCTTTCTCCCTCCCACTCTCTCAGCAGTCATGTGATGGCGTCAAGGAAAAAGATTTTGCAGACATGCAATGAACCAGTGTGTTGTGTTGTAGTCAGCACGCTTTAGGGCGTTGGGCCTGCTCACGGTGTAAGAATGATTTCAGTGATGACACTGCAGTGCCCGGTGCCGCGTACGGATTGTGTTCGCCGCCTGGGCTGTTTCCATTTGATGCAACTGATGGCGCTCACGGAGGGTGGGTCAACGCGCTCACTGGCAAGCGACTCGATCCGGTAGTAGAGGGTTATTGCTGCGGTGCCTCGCTGATTTATAATGCTCGATATACAGATGTAAATAGATGTCAATAAATTAATACATTGTGACTCTGCTCTAATGAAATTTATTTCGTAATTTTATATGCAGCTTATTTGCTAACAGTGTTTTTGTGATATAAATGCACTGACGGCAGCTATGGTTGGCCTGCGGAAAGCGGTTGCATTTTGACGCAAGAGCACTAAAGATCTCGTTTCGTTGAAATTCTGGTGTTGGAAGTGTCGGCGTCGGCATCTTTGATTCAGAACAACAACAACAAAAAAAAACAGCGTTGTCCATGAGAGAAAATTTGAGGTGTTTGCAATAAGGATAGCAGCCCGAGGGCAAAGGCACACTAGCTATTAGGAAGGCAATAGTCTGCGCGCTTGTGTGTGTGTGTGTGTGTGTGTGTGTGTGTGTGTGTGTGTGTGTGTGTGTGTGTGTGTGTGTGTGTGTGTGTGTGTGTGTGTGCGTGCGTGTGTGCGTGTGTGCGTGCGTGCGTGCGTGCGTGCGTGCGTGCGTGCGTGCGTGCGTGCGTGCGTGTGTGCGTGTGTGCGTGCGTGCGTGCGTGTGTGTGTGCGCGTGTGTGTGCGCCTGTGTGTTTGTGTGTTTGAGCGCGTGCGGATATAACTTTCGTGTTCTGTCACAGCAAAATTAACTAAAAATTTCGTCACAAGGCTTTCCAATAACGTATCAGGAAACTTACACACATTCTATTAAAAACCTAAATTGACACACTATCTTTGGCAGTTTTACTGTTAGCTTTACACAGATTTTGGCCTCTGGCAGTGTACGTAGCATGATATGGTGGGAAAACTTCATTGGGTCCCGAAAGTTGACCCCGGGTTAACCGTTAGTACCACACCCATGTCGGGGCTGTTGAGCCAGTGTCATCAGCCATAGTTTGCACTATTTTATTAGGTCGTGCAGAGTTGAACTTGAAGTGCTTATGAGACAGTAGAAGCGAGTGCACTACCTAAAGCAGTATATCTTGTGCAGCTCGACCCTTACGCCACTGCACGGTGTGCCGACAAATATATTCCGCATTTGATGAGGCATCTAAAAATATCTAAGGCCTTTGAATTCATAATTAAAAGGTGTCATAAGTCATAATTAAAGGGTCACAAGTACCGAAGTCGAAAGTGTGCCTGCACTGTTGCAAGATAGTTATGATGAAGAGCTAGAGACATTAAAAAAAAAACGAGAAAATCTGGCTTGACCACATCAAGCATGGAAAACTAATTATAATCACAACACCTGCATTACAGAATTAGTATGTACAATAATTTATGTCCACTGGTTTCTCTGCATTTATTCTTCCTTTGTCCCAATACGCATACATGAGGCCGCTCAAAAATGTGTCATCTCAATTTAGAACAAGAAATTAGTATTCCTGCATGACGAAGAACTGAGTCGGTAACGCATAGGCCCACACTGTCAGTGCCTTGTTGAGAAGCATCCTCCCCTTTACTTGGATGAGGCCCATCTCTGATAAAGTAAAAGTGCTACCTTTTGCATGCATGCCTGCTGATTCATCTTTACCATGCCTTGGGAAAATTGTCTCTACACACAATAAATTTGGTGTTCTTTCAGCAGTCGTGTCAGGCACTTCAGATGCAGTTTAACCTTCTGGCCCCCTTCGCTTCCAAAAAGTCGGCAATAGAGCCAGTCGTTTTCGCTGAGTTGTCATGTTTTTTCTTGGTTTTTTTTCTGCAGAGTCAGGTATTTTGGAAAGCCTGGTAAACTGGCAGGCTCAGCATCTGAAGTGAGCGTAGGTTTCTTTGGTGCGTGCAACAGGTTGTTTCCCTTGTATTCTGCATGATATGTGGCAGAGATCGCTTTTTAGGGGAAATGCTTAGCGCACACGTGGTCAGTAGGCTGCAAGGCTCTGTCAACTTTCGGGATTGCTCGTCGCTCCTTATCAATGCACTCTGGTTCACGTGTAACCTTGAAAAGCAACACATGCTTCGTACAAATCCGATACCCCGACTTAAACTTGAGACAAAACAACATTTGCCCATTTCGAGGTGCAGCCAGCGACAAGGTCACTGACGTGTACTCGATGTCATATACATCGCCAATGCCTACACGCACTGAATCACAAAGCGTGAATTAGCTGAACAAATCACTGGCAGGGCTCACAGACACAGGGTGATGCATTTCTAAATCACAAAATCTTATGCACACAAAGCTTTCAGGAAGATGCTTTTTGCGCACGTATTTCTGAATGAGCGCTGTGCGAATACTTGGCACGTCATGCAGTAGCGCCATCTCAACTCGAGTGATGGCAACTACTTGTAGATCGAGGTCATCGGCGCACACTAACTACCCACACCCTCTCCTTGCGCATAGCGGCGAGTGTCAGCACCTAACATATCCTTACACCATGAGCCTGCGTAAGAAGCTCTGGCTTCTCCCCCTTACACTCTCTCAGCAATCTTGTGATGGCGTCGGGGAACAAGATTTTGCAGAAGTGCAATAAACCAGCTAGTTGTATTCTAGTCAGAACGATCTAGTGCGTTCTGACCTGCTTAAGAGGCTGTGGCCTCTCCCCCTTACACTCTCACAGCAGTCATGTGATGGCGTCGGGGAAGAGGATTTTGCAGAAGTACAATGAACCAACTAGTTGTATTCTAGTCAGAACTGTTACGCCTGGAAGTCCACATTGAACATCAATGCCTCTGCAAATGCAATCTGTGTCAAAACCAGCGATCGAACCCGCCTGACGCAATCGACTCAACGACGTCGTCAAGCGGCGGCGCTGGTCTGTCACGCAATGCACAGCGAGCTCCCTCAGCCCACGAGCCAGTCGAAGCAATCGACGCCTTCCAGTCTGGTGAGTCTTACGCAATGCGTGGCAATGTCACTCGTCCTTGGATGCAACCTTGTGCAGCGGCTTCGGATTTGATGAGCATGACGCGGCCCAGCGGTGGGCCCCATTGGAGGGTTCTGACATCACGGCCAGCGGCACTTCTGGTTGGACGTTGGTGACTCAAAAGATCCACCCGGTGCCTATAAAAAAAATCCCTGCGGCGCGTCGCCAGCAGTAAATCTATGTGTCAGATAAGCCTCTTGTTTTTTCGAGCCCCTTTTGCTGTCGGCGCGACCGGTGACCTTGGCAGCGTCGAGTTTCGTGGCGCCTTTCGTGACCTCGTCGGCGGTGCGCCTTCGTAACAGAACGCTCTAGTGCGTTCGGGCCTGTTTAAGAGGCTGTGGCCTCTCCCCCTTACACTCTCTCAGCAGTCATGTAATCGAGTCGGGGAACAATATTTTGCCGAAGTGCAATGAACCAACTAGTTATATTCTAGTCGAAACGCTCTAGCACGTTCGGGCCTGCGTAAAAGGCCTACAACAACCCCTACAGACTTGTTGTTTGTCAGAGGTGTACATAGCAGCCCAAACTTGAAAAACACAGATCAGAGAAAAGAAGTAGTAGGAAGCAGGAAGGTCGTGCGCTAAACTTCAACCTTTTATTCAAAAAAACAAGCCATCATATTACAATGTAATCAAGATAATAGATCAAGATATTAGCCATAAGCAACGACACATTAGTGTGAACGTTATTACAAATGTTTCACATTAAGAAGAGAGGCATGGGTTACATTAGTGATGCATCCGTTTCATTTGACTAAAATGAGCTTCAGCTTGTTGACACGCAAGTGTGATGATTGTTTACTGATTTTGACGAACGCATGCGCAGAGAGCTGTAATCTGGTGGCTTGCTTGTTAGTGTTGTTTTGTGCCTGTGTGTGGTGGGCTGCAACAGAATTGTCTTGCCTCTGTAGGCTGCAGCAGCTCAACCAGGCCATGGAAGCAGCCTCATCAAGCGTGGGCGAGAGGAAGTCCCTGTTTCTTGAAAAGGTGTGTCCGTGTGGTCGCTCCTCCTTCTTTATCTTGCCTCCATGTTTGTTGTGCTGTGAATGATGCATTCATCCTTTCTTCCTATCTCACTGTGTATTTAATTGTTGCAGTATGCTGTAAGACGGGGGTTGGCAACCTGCTGTCCATGAGACGGTAATATGCGACCCCCAGCCAAATCTCAGAACCTATTCCCTCCCTCCGTTACTGCCTATCCATAAGCATACTTGACATTTTTGACCCGAAATGGGGTTGTCAACCTATGTTGGTGAAGTGCAACTTTGTCACAAGTATTCCCAATGCATCAACTTCTTTCCCTTTGCCGCCAACCCAGTAAGACCCCCGCTGTGTCAGCTTCATACAAAGCAGCCCTTTGCCTGAGATAGGTTTGCCACTCCTGCTGTAGGAAATTACAGAGCTTAAGGCCTCGCAGTTCGACACTTTAGAACGGAACTGCACAAACAAGCTCTCAGGAAGCGACACTGGCCCCATTTAAGTGCCAAATGTTGCTTCATTAACCTGAGAGCAAGGCAATCCATATTTGGTGTCCTTGCACTTGCTGCTGTTCTTATTGTGTCTTGCATGCAGCGGCAAGCAGTTCCTCTATGTTCCATAGCAATAAAGGAAGTTATGTTTATTGTGAAGTACTAATAATAATTCTCAGTAGACTCCTGGCAGCCACTCAAAAATGCCTATAATTTCCAAGAACCCCGTCCCTTTTTTTCTTGTAATACAAGACAGCACCGCAAACGTGGCAAAAGTGAAGTTTCTCAAAGTAACACTATGCTTCCCACTCTGGTATAGGCTCGTCAGAATGGTGGTCGCATGGGCGAGCATTAAAAATTGCGACTCTCAGCTCCCAACAATGCTTGGCAAGTGTACAAATCAGTGTGCCAACACCGAGTGAAAGCCAAAAAGAAAAAAATTTATATATTTTTGGTCGGAACAGAAACGTCACCAAAACGTTCAGTGACTAGGGCTCGTCTTGTGTCCTTGCTTTTTTTCTGTCTTCGTTTTTTGCACTGTTTACCTCGACTAGCTATGAACCGTTACCAACTTTCGCAGTTTTAAATACTGCTCGTTCAGTAAGATTTCGTTTCATAGTGTAACCAAAATATCGTTTATTATTTTTCGATTCACTGGAAAGCTTGGCAGTTTGGAACAACCAAGATCATGCAACTAAGCAATAATGCATCGAGGCCAATGATGCATAATCACAGTAGACTTCAAGTTCTGTGAATTCCAAATAAGGTTGAAGTTCCTCCACAGCCCATACAACGGCCAAACACTCCCACTTCTGGACTGTGTAATTCTGCTCCGAATTCAACAAGCATCTGCTGATGAATGAAACTGACTTAAAAATCTTATCCCGACGTTGCAGCAGCACTGCTGCTATACCCACACTACTGGCATCTGTTTCAAGTACGAATGGTGCATTGAAGTCTGGCAAGCTCAGAAATGCATCTGTTGCCAGCATTGCACGACGAGTTACAAAAGGCTGTTCTTCAATGCTCGTCCAGTGCCATTGCTGTTGCTGCTTGAGCAAGTTCGTCAATGGCTTAGCAGTGACGGAAAATTGTGAAAGTTCCTGTAGAATCCGGCCAAGCACAGAAGTGCCTGCAGTTGCTTTCTGTTACTTGGTTGTGTGTACTCTGCCACTGCATACTCCTTATCTGGGTCTGGCCGGCACTCTCCTGAAAAAACGCCACCGAGAAAGTCTGCAGTCACGGAGAAAGATGGGGGATTGAGTGCACTGTTGTACTTTAGTGATATTAATTGTAAGCCCTGCATTCACGATGCGTTAGAGAACTTCACGGACATGTACCAGTTGATCTTCTGTTGTCGGAGAGTGCACCAAGATATCATCAAGGAATGCCATGGCAAATTGGTGCTTATGCCGTAAAGGATTCTGTTTATTCAAGCTTGAAATGTGGCCAGACTGCATATATTAAAATGCTGGTGATGCAGTGCACGCGAGAAAAAAAGAGAGCGAGGAGGAAACCGGCCGCTACATCAGAATTGCTCGCATGCTATTGGTCCTTCTTCTCAATGTCATGTGGCTGAGAATGCGTGCGCCTGCAAACGCACACACACGCACTTACACACGAATGAGTGTTCACGGCTGTTCTATCGTTCAAAAGCAACCTTGCTCCTTCAGGCGGCCACTCACGCCAATGTGCCACCGTGCGGTGAGGCACCTATGAGTGGTTTCGATAGGGTGGTGATAGTTTCAATGTGCAAACTACGACTGTTAAACGTGGAGTGCCTTCGTGTCAACATGTGCATGAAGGGCCACGCGCACGAGTGAATCAGCAGCTACAACCAGGCATCAAATTGGAAGTGGATCATCGACAGCAAAACTAGAAATACGAAGAGGTAAGTTTGCATTTTTTTCGTTTTTGTCACAGGAGCAAAAAGCCACCTCTAATAAGATTTGATGATATAGACAATCACTGAAAAGCCACACTTTATTCGCCATTCTCAAAACATTTTCTGCATCCAGCGTGGCCTCGAGATCAATGCACTGGTAGCATGCTGCACCTGACGAGGTTTCGCTGTGCCACCGGGGTGCTGTCTCACGAGAAAATGTTACATGAGCCTCAACATCAACCACACAGTTCTTATTTACGCAGGGATACTGCTGGTTGTGAAACACATGTGGTTTATTTACTTACAGGATGAACATGCTGCATGCTAGCTCATAGTTTTAGAATCAGTGAAAACAAAAGGCTCTTAGTTTCAGTTAAAAAGAATGTATGAAATTCGCTAATTATGCTAGCCATTGACAGTTTCATGGCTTTCAGCAGCGGTATTTCTCCGCTTCAGCTCCAATTTTAGTGCACAATATTAAACCAACATTCAGTCTCTGACAGAGCACCATGGTTTTCTATAGAATGAGCGAGCATGCGCATGTTCGCCCTGTAAGGAAATAAGCCAACTGTGTTTCACAATAAGTATCCCCACCTAAAGAAAAACTAGGTGGTTGAAGTCGAGGTTAATGTAGAGCCGAGTGAGATTTCAACCGAGCGGGACGCGCATTTTGCGCTCCCTCCCTTATCTTAATTGTCGCTCCGCGCTCTTCGCAGGGAGCCCTTCGCAGTGCTACGAATGGCGCCTCAGAAAGGCAACCGGAAAAAAATGCCACAGCAGCACGCCGTTGTGGCAGCCTTGGCATCGCCATCGGTGCCCACCTAGCAGCAGGCACAATCTAAGCCTGCACACTCTAAAAATAAAACCCAGCCCCAGGAGGCCAAAAGCCATCACACTGCCACCCTCTCCCCAGCTCTGAGCAAAAGGAAAGTGCAAACTGGAACTTCCTCCTCTCCTGCCAGTGGCTTCCTGCAAGGGATACCCCCTCGCAGCAACATCACCTACTCTCGCCTCTCAACCACTACGCCCGCCCCACGTGTGCGCATGCCTCCAAGCACATCTCCATGCCCACTTTGTCCCCACTTTGTTGACGACTTACCTTTGAGTGACGGCGCGGCTACCATCATCTATCGGCCTGTGGTAAAGAAGAACAACGTCCTGGCTGTGTTGAGAGATGCCATTACCGCCTTCCTCTCGGGGTTCCCGGCCAAACGTGTACAGGTGAATTTCAGGTGCAATCTGGTTGCGGTTGACACGCACGCCACCACCAATCTGATCCCCCTACTCCAGGTTGGGACGATCTGCGATATCTAGGTTCGGGCCTAGCAACTGGACCTGAACACCTGTGTTGGCATGGGCTTTGGAGTAGACCAGTGTAATGACCGACTGGACGTCGCAGCAGCTTTTGCAAGAATCCTTTATTGCACAAACTATATGAGTATATGTAGGTATGGTGGGTTGCTTTATCGATTCACTTGGTGGTGCTAGTTCGAACACAAGACATTCGCAGTACACACTGGTTCACTCAGTTCATGCTGTTATCACATCTCTTCCCCCCTATCAGTCAATGTCATAGCGGAGCACAGGTCGTCGTGCATGAGTAGAGCGGCGGCATGCTTGCACGGTATCAGGTACAGTCGATGTCAGCCCATCATCTGCTGGCATTGCAGCTTCTCGTACAGGCAATCTGGTCACCGGAGCTGGCGTTGCCGGAAACTGGAAATTAGGGTCAGCAGTGTCTGGTGGGGCAGACTTCTATGCTCTGCACACATGGTCACGATAACGTTTGTGTATTGCACCGCTCGTAGTTTGTACTTCGTACATGACGTGACCTTAGGACCTCAGTACGGACGCGGCTAGCCACTTTGGCCCACGAGAGAAGTTCCGCACGTACACAGGATCACCACGTTTGAACGTCGACTTTGGCTGTCTCGTACACTTTACGTCTTCGACGTTGGGCTGCATGCTTGACAAGGCAGAACGGAAGCTCCTTCCCAGCATGAGTTCTGCTGGCATTCTCCCGGTTTCTGTGTGTGGCGTGGAGTGCTGCTTGAATAAAAAATGGGAAACTTTAAACACCACTGTGCCCTGGCTTTGCTTTCGAAGCGCACAATTTAGCTCACGAACCATGCGCTCCGCCCTTCCATTGCTTGCGGGATGGTATGGCGCTGTAAACATGTAGCGGAAACCGTTCTGCTTCAAGAAAGATTGCATTTCTTGGCTTGAAAACGCCACCCCATTATCCGCAACGACCAACTCTGGTAATCCGTACGAAGCAAACATCCCACGCAGTTTATTGATCATCACAGACGAGTGAAGCGATGGCACAATTTCTATCTCAGCCCAGTTTAATAGTGCGTCCACGACAATAAGAAAGAAAACACTTTGAACTGGTCCGGCGAAATCTAAATGGATTCTGCTGCATGAAAGTTCGGGCTTCATCCAGAAGTGGGCAGGCGTCTTAGGTTCGCTTTGCCTGTTTGTTTGGCATGATTGGCGATGACGAACAAAATCTTCAATCTGGGCATCGATCTTCGGCCACCACACAAATGATCTTGCGAGAGCTTTCATGGCCGCAGTGCTAAGATGATTTGCATGTAAACTGCAGAGAACATTTTTTCTGAGTTCGTCTT